AAAATTTCAATCTTTTCTCTGTAGGAGTGATACATACATTTGATTCCATTCATGTACTAAACTGTAATTTTGGGAATGCTGGAATAATTCCTACCGAGACTGTCTTAATTGTGCCATCTGACATTTGAATGTCATCCTGGTATTAGCTCATAATAAAAGATAAAAATAAATGAATCACTTGTTCTCTTGAATATCCCATGTCTTAAAACGTGTGTTCCAACAAAATCTGTATTTGTGGAGAACGGCTATTTAATGTTTGCATCCACTCTGATTCTACACTAGATGTTTACTCGGGTTTATTCTCTTAAGAGATAATCCTATTACTGTTATTGAAGAGATATAGGCACCTCAGCAAGAAGATACCTATTATTTTTTTTAATCAAAAGGCACAAGCACTCGTTGCCTCATTTCTACAGCAATACTCCAAAATAATCTGCATTGACGAAGTAGGATAGCATGCGTTCCATTTTCTGAGTATGTAGGGAGAAATTGCTACACTTGACCTACTGGGGCAATTTTGTATTAATCAAGAGTTGATCCTTATTAGAACCAAAACAAGATGTCTCCAGGAAAAGACATTTTGTGCCATTAATAGTAGACCCTTGGGGACCTAGCGCATATGGGTTCTTGTGTACCTGTACTACTTCTGCAGTGTTCTCTTCTGCCTGGTGGGGTTTTTTATCTGCCAGTAAGAAACAAACTCTTCAGTTGCCTTACTCCTAATACAAGGTAGCCTCTGCATCTTTCATGTTGTTTACTGAAATGAAATGTACTTGATTGCAGAATGAATGGATGTGAATATAACAATTAAATGCAAATCTGAACGTGTGCTAGTTCACAATTACGTCTTTTTTTTGTATTGCCTTCTACAAGGTAGGCAATAAGTGTGACGGGGGATTTAGAACTTTCTTCCTTTATTAATGACAGAGGAGGGGGGAAAATACATGTTTAAGGAGTTTAAGTAAGTAGCCTGACCAAAGGTAGATGCAACAGATTTAGTCATCTTTTTAACTTTTTATTTTTTTGGAAGGATGTTAATGGTACCTCAGCAAGGTATTTAAGCCTTTTAAAAGGTGGCTGTTAATTGCCATTAGTCATCCTCTCCTCAGTACGCTGTTTGCTGTAGGGTCAGATGTGTGAAGTTGAAGACCTGGATGTTGGATAAGGGAACAAGATATGCATCTCTCTAAGCAGCAGGGTGTTGAGAGGTGGAGCCAGAGGGGTTGGAGAGGATGGGACTCCAGGGATGTGAATTGTTCCACTTTTTTTTTGGCTGTAACTAACCTGAGAATGACTTATCTAGAGGAAATGAATCTAGATGTACGCTTCTAAATGAACGTAGGTGTGTAATATCTTTTTAGTTTGGTTTTTTTCTGTTGATTAATAAACTTTGATTTTGGTAAAATTACTGTGTTTGGCTAATTGCACTGATAGCTGCAAGAGAAGTAAATCCTGTAATGTGCATGGAGAGATACTGAAAGGTAAGGAGTTTCTGGCCCCTACACTCCCTTTGGCAAGTGTTTCGTCCCAGTCAGCTGCAGCAAACTGAACACTGAAGGGCCAAGCAGGAAACTCAAGTTGGCAGCAGTATGCATTTGTACACAGTTTTAACTTTGTTAACAAATCCCTTTGCAGCAAGTAGTCCTAGAGGGTAAATTAGGTCCAATTTGAGTTGTATAACCCTAATATCTCCAACAGGTAAAATTAATTGAAACTTACGTCTGAGGTACAGAGAAGTTTTAAAACTCTCTCCCACAGGTGAGTCACTGGCCAGAGCCAGCTCGTCTTCTCATTCGGAAGTGAGCTGTTGAGTAAAGCACTGTGCACTTAATACTAAAAGTTTGCTCCTGAGAATCCCATTACTCTGACCTGACAAGATAACTTGCTCTGACTGATGCCTATTCTTTTTTAATTGTTCTTTTTAGCTATCACTTAAGGATTTCCCAAATGTTTTTGTACCTGGCAAGTTCTCTTCCCTCTACTGTCGAGACTAGCTGGCTTCTAACTCACCCATGCTTAAACCTATGATATCAAAGACAACAGCAGTTGTAATAAGTTTATCTGCATTATTCTGAGAATAACTCTTGTTCCAGACTAGATAGATTCACCCTAGTGTTCCAGGTAGCTGGAATTAGTAAATACAACATTCTGTTACTGGGCATTCGGTTTCCCAGCTGCTAGTGTTTGGAGTGTAGTTTGTCACTTAAATAAATGACTTTTAATCAGTGGTTCAGTTAGTAACAATGGGACTTTAGCATCTCTAAATTCACCAATACCAAAGGCTTTAAATAAATTCCATAATTTTCTCTGGAGGTTACCTGTTCAGTTTAAGACTACTTTTACTTAAGTCACTTTGCACCAGCATTTCAAGAAACAGACCAAAGCCTGAATTAATTAGCATTTTTCAATCAATCCAGAGTTATCGGAAAAATGACTTTTCTCTTGTAGCGCTGATGGAAATAACTGATTTAAATCAGTCAGGGTGAAGGGCTACATGCATGTATTTAATCACTTAAATATAATGGCCCCTCAGGTGTCCTCATTACCTTATTTGTGGGGTCGATGTACATGGAGTGGGGGCAAGTAAGCAGGACTTATTTCCTCAGCAGCATGACTGAGCAAACTCCCACTGTGCTGCCATAGCGCAAAACCAAGATCATTTTTCCTGTCTGGAATAAGTGCTTATGTAGGTTTGATCATCTAATGCAAGGATTCTGCTCTAGAAGCTGTTCAAGAGTAATACGATAAGGTTAGACCAGGAACACAGTTGCGACTCTTAGCAAGCTTAGGGCAGACTACAAACCGGCAAATTTGTTTCATGAGAACAGAAATGCCATGCATGGTACAATCAAGATAACACAGGTCTACTTCTCTCCCCTCCCTTCCATCCTTACTCCTAAAGAATGAGAAGTCAGCTGTTGTACTGTCTTCTGGAAATCTCACACATTGGAAGGGTTCTTAGAGGATTCTGCCATCCTATTAATCGGTTTGTTGCTACTTTCTGACAGTCTTCAGAGCAACCCATGCCTGAATTTATTCATAACTCAAGGTAAACCTCAAGCAAAAGGTAAGCTGCTGCTGCTGTTTAGATTTATATCATCATCCAGAAAACTCAAAGCTGCTTACAATAACAAACCAACCAGCCCACAAGATAAGAAACAGACTCCCTGATCAACACCCCACCTCCCTGCCTGGTGCACCCAAAACAGCAAGCCAAGAGGCCCATATTGTCATAAAACCAAGGTCAATTTGAACCGGCAGCCACCAGGCCCAACTTACTGATGTATGATGCTCTTTCATTTAGATCCTAAACCATACCAGTGTTAACAAAAGGGCTTGGGTTGGCCCTTTATAAAGATTTTTCCCAGCATGCTCTCCTGCTAGTTGCCTCTCTCAATCTGGCAGGGCTCCAGTTGCAGCTCCATGGGCATTTTGTCTCTGACCGCTGCAGCTGGCACACTCATGGCCAAGAAGTAAGTAATTTACCTATTTTATTTTCTCCTGGTTTTCTCTTTTGCTTATCTCTGATGTGGTATCACACTTTCCCTAGAAGAACAAGCATTTAAATACTGTATCTGTACCTTTCCATTGTCAGGTTTCTAAGCATTAAACTGCGTAAACGGTGCAACAGCCCAAATTCTAGCTAAATTAAGCTAAATTCAGCCCTGCTGAAGCCTGACAAAAAACAGAGAGGAAATAAAAGGAAGCAGGGTGCAGAGGAATTAGAATTGTAGCATGATTTGTTTCTGAGTGTAGAGATTAGTCACCAGTAAATTATGGCTTTGAAAAAAGAAATTCCTAATTTTATGGGTCAAATAGTAGCTACAGTGAACTATCATGCATCTCACCTCTTACAAGTCATTAATTATGGAGTATTAACAAGTCTTGTGTGCTCATTCATAATACACCAGTCAAATTGATTGAAATTCCATTTATTCTCACTGATTTCTAAATACACCACAAATTTCAAGTACAATATAAAACCAATTCTCCCCATTAAGAACATCTGATTACCTCTTTGACAAAAATATAGTATTAAAGATTTGTTTTAAAAATACAAACTTTATAAAATGTGAAGTAAAAAATTAATGTCAGTGGGTGGGAAGTGTAAGATGTAGGAAGGGCCACTGGGGATCTACAGGAACCTAAGGGTGTGGGGGGTGGATTCTGTCTTGATGGATCATTCCACAATATCAAGAAAAATAGCTAATATTGCAGAGGTCACTTAAGAGAGTAGTTTATTTCTCTGACCTGTTAGACTTCATGTCAAAAGGCCTTGACTTATTGTGGCAGGTTGCAGTTCTCACTGTCATCTCTAGAAGCTGTGGGCACTCACTATTTCAAGATCATAGCCCAAGTTATCTAGTTGCTGTATTTGGTAATGTCAAAGAAGAAGAATAGCAATGTATTACAATCTGGAATACTGCAAGCCATTTAAAATTTCATATAAAATACACAGTGCAGCAGTTCTTGAAAGTAAGTGTAGCACTTTCAAAGATTTGAACATTTCTCTGAAGTTATGAAAAAATATCCAAAGTAATGCTATATTTTGTATATTAACTCTAAAATGCAAGATTTTTCACTATAAAAGGCTATTTTAAATTTCTGTGCTATGTCTTAAGCTCAAATATTGGAATATTTAATAGACATGCTTAAAAATATTAGGTACTTCTGATCTTAGAAACCCATTCTCTTTACCAGCTATACAAAAATATCCATATTACATTGCAAAACCTTAATCTGAACAAATGTGAATTTTGAAACTAAAATTTTTTACATGCTTTAATAAATTTGTAGATGCACTGAAGTGGCTCCATCCTTCCACTTGTTAACATGGTCTGAAATAACAGTCCTGCAGAGTGGACATATTTTTTCTCTATTAAACCATAAAGAGATGCATTCTTCACAAAATATATGCTGTAATGAGAAGAACAAGTTCTTATGTTTTCATGCAAGACCCCAAAAGCTCTACCAATATTTATTACAACCTGTTTTCTAAAAACACATGGAATCATATTTTGTCTAGACTGCAATGATTCTTCTGTTACTCTGTTTAGATTATTATACAATTATATAGATACGTGACTATTCTCGTACACTCCATCTACACTAAAATTGCAAAGTCATGCTCTCAACAGCTGGGAAATGCAACCTTAATGTGGACCCCTTGTGTGCACGCCTCATGATGCAGTCTCTAATTAGATGATTCCATACTATTTCTTCAACACAACACTGCTTTAATTCAGTATACAGGATGCACCTGCCCAAGAGACGAATCAGGGTTATATAGTTAAGATGGCTGTGGGACCCTGATTCATTTGCTGCAGAATTGAAAAGCTGAGTAGCAACACAAGCAAAGGACTGCAGGAAAAGAAGGAAGACTCTTGTGGTTCAGACAGTTGAAAGGTTCCCTGAAGAATTAGATTCTATCCCTGCTTCTGCTACAAAGTTCCTGGGCAGTGAAGCCAAAGTTTTCATGGCTTATCCCTATGTCTGTGTTTCTCATTTTCTGGGTGCCTGACTGAAAAACTGGCATGTGATCTGCAGAAAGGCTGAGGCCTTGCAGATGTAACTCGGGTCAATGGAAGCTGTGGGTTAAACAAATGTAATACTATATAACACTAATGAATCTAAAGTGTTTAAACAATCAAGTCCTAGGTGCCTCAAATTGGGCATGTAAAGTGAGTGAATGTCTTTTAACCTTAATCTCCAGTAAGAAACAATTGTACCCCTTCCATTCATAGTAATGTTTGGAAAGCACTCATAATGTGTGTAATCCCCAATGTTGTCATGCTGCATGGACCAGCACTAGGGGGGGGTAGGACAGGCTGTGCACAGCTATTTGTCAACAGCTGTGGAAGGGTAACTTATTCCAGGCCCTGAAGAAGTGTGTGCTCAAGTGAACACAGCTTCTTCTCTCCATTCCCACCCCCTAAGGATACTAGCATCAGTCCTATCCCTCTAGCCAGCTCCGGTCCCAGTCCTGTCTCTTTTCTACCACTGCCTCCTTGGCTTTTGGCTAGCAACTGCATTAGTTCTTGTAGCCTAATATTTAAGCTCTTCCAAAGCTTGTTAGCATAATTATGCTGTATATTCTTTCCTTTTCAATTCCTTTTAGCATCTTGCTAAGTTTTTGGCCTCAGTAACTAAACAACTGTGCGAAGACTAGAGTCGACAGCTGCTGTCATCAACATATAATTTCATATATTAAAAAAGAAAGACAGGAAGTTGTAGGGAAACATTCAGAAGATTGTAAGGTCTAAAAGTCTCTCCCACTGGAGGGGAAAGGGGAAACTCCAAAGCACCCACAAACTGTTTCCATAAAGCTGCTGCTATTTTTCAACTGACACCGCCAACAAGCTATGCATGCAAAGTTTCAGAACAGGAGCCTCCCTCATGTTTTGATTCTAAAGGGATTCTGAATTGCAGAGAATTACCTGACATATGAGAAGAATAGGCTTTTGAAATTCTGCTTGGCAGATGGCACAAATATCGTCTGCTTCAGAACACTGTCTCTTGCTGGCTGTCACTCCATAGTGCTGTAAAATAAGAGATTTTGGTGGCAGATATTTCAGCACCCAAGGATAAGGAACTAATTATCAGAGAGAGGATGTGGTAGAAGGAAACCACTTCAATCCCTAGTGCACTAGGATGCTGCTAAATGTTTCAATTGTCAAGATGTTACATGGGCCCTGACATGCCCTGGTACACGGTGATGCATCAGCATCACTTATTACTGAGCACGGGAAGGACTATGACACTTCTTTACGATGGTGGTTCCTGCTTCTGGCATTTTCCATTACACAGTAATCAGGGACATGCCACTTGCTCTTGAGCAAAAGTACTTTAGGAAGAGTGTGTCTGCTGTTCTAGTACTGATCAAGTTCAGTGGCATTATGCCCAAACATACATATATTCCACTGCGTGCCCAGTGGGCTCTAGATTAAGTTATAATAAATGTTGCTATCCACCCAGTAGTTTAGAATAGAACAAAACTTTTTTATCTGGCAATTTGTAATTGTGAATGAGACAGCTGAAAGAACTTCAGTTCTGTTGCCAGAATGTGGGTCTTGCTGACTCCCATTTCAGTTAGCTGATGTAACATGAAGCTCTACTGCTGAGTCCAACAAATATTTAACCCCATTTTGAAAACATATCAATCACATCAGGATTTTTTATTTAGGTGTTACTGAAAATAACTAATCTCATGGTGCTTCACACAGAATAAAAATGTGTTCACCTTTAAAGTAACTGAATTTCTCAGCCTTATGATCATGGGCTGAATTAATTTTACAGTGTAATAAACTATAGAAAGGGAATAGCTAGTGGGATTACTTTTAAGATTTTAACTGTTTTATTTGAAGAACATGACAAGTCATATAGTGGTAAGCAGAAACAAGCTAACTTCTAAAAAGAAGCATATTGATATATGAGCTAGGTTCACCTTTCTGTTCTTATATAGAATCCAATACTCACTGGTCGTGTAAAAAATATCCGCAAAACCTGTCTAAAGTTTCTGAGCTGTCCAAAGAAGCTCAAAAGCTGAAACAGAAAAGAAAGAGAAAGTCCGGCTTAATAATTATTTCTAAGCTAATTTTTCAAACCTTTTATGCAGGTTTTAAAAGTGTCCCAGCACTGAAATCCTCTTAAATACTTCAAACATGTATTTTTCAGGGTTTAACTTATTGTCTGGACGTGGTAAATGTATAAGGGAGGCTAGCAGCACCGCCTGTTATTAAAATTGGCCCATATGATCCTGATTTCAATTGCTTATAATTTAGTTACATTTTTCATCTTGATTCTGATTGAAGCAGAAACAATTGTTTTGAAAAATATCACCTGAACAATAAATAGTTAAACATTAAAGGACTTTTAAGCAGGGATAGCATCCCCAACTGGAGTTGGAAATTTGACTTCTTTCTGTGTTCCTGTAAAAATCCACCCAAATTTGATTGAGTCTCAGGTTTGAAACATTTTCTAGTTCACAAATCCTCAGTGGAAACTTAGAGTGCAACAGCAAAATATCCGTATATATAACAAAGGACTCAGTATTTATATAATTTCTACCATACTGAGAGGTTGTTCTGGGTATGTCAGAAAAGAAGAGTGTAGGAGATTTTCATATGGATAAAGGAATCTAGGTGCCCAAATTCCAACAAGAGTTAATGGTATCCAGATTGTAGCTGTATTGGTTACAGGCAAAAGGAATTAAAACTTGTGGTAGAGGTGATATCTTTTATATTAGGCCAACTGGATTGTGCCCAAAAGCTTCCAATTAAAAGTTTGGGTTTTTTTGCAAAAATCTAGTTGTTCTAATAAAAGATATCGCCTCTACCACGAGTTCTGATACCAAGAGTTAATGGGAGTTAAACATCTCCCTTTAAGTCATCAGTACTGTTTATTAAGTGTCCTTGCATTAGGCAAAAGGCTTCTTTTTACCAAACCAGAGTTCAAAAACGACATTTTAAACCAAGCTGAAAGAAAACTAGATTGCATGATAATTTAAGACAGTGGAATTGAAGCCAAAAGTAACAATTTTACCTGCTGCAAGAATTTCCAGTTTGAGGTTTCACTGACTGGAAATCTGCCCATTACCCTTGGCAACATGTTTACACACTGATTGCTACAAGTCTATGGTAACATTTAAGACTTATATTTGGTTCACATCTGTGCATTCATTAACTAATAACTTGCAATAATTAATAATCTGACTCTACATTCTGGCCAGAAATGTTATTATGTTTATTTTCCATCCCTAGAGGCTTTGCATTACTCTGAAAGGTATTCAAAGGCTTGACAAAAGACTCCATTAAAATTTATCCTAAATTATTTATTCAGAAATGTATACTGGCATTGCTAGGGCACATGGGCATCCAACAGCAAGGGGAAAATATGTGCACATAACCAATATCCTAGACCTAAAACAAACACTTGATTCCATATTATTATAAAAAGATCACACCAAAGCACAATGGACTGATGAAGTCTGCGTAACCCAGGCAGACCTCTCGGAGAGAACAGGATTGGGAGCAGTCCTGCAACTTCTCATCCCCTCCCCTCCCCTCCAAGGAACATCTCGGTTTTGAGTGTGCAATGCTCAAACCCAGAACTTGGACACTCCAATAATGAGAGTAATGCAGTGAATGTTATTAAGTCATGAGACACATAACATATGTAGCTATCTTGACATTTACAGCTAATTGAGGCAAAAATTGTCCTTGCCCATTCTGCTGAGGCAGCAATTTTTTAGACTGTAAAATACCAGTCGTGTCAGCCTGGAAAAGGAGGGTACATCGATTTAGTGTCTGACTTAGCACATGTTCATGTTGATTTTGGAAAGCTGTATTTGTTAAAACTAAAGAGATACAAGATCATTAACTAATAGGTTCAAGCTCCAGGCAACCTGTAGGAACAAATTACTTTGCATGTCTGCATCTCTTCCATAACTACTGCAGTCATATTTTAACATATTTAAAGCACAAAAGGGAAATAAGATTTACATACTTTTAGGATGAGGTAGAGTAGACCCAGCAATACCCCAAAACTCCACCCTAGTAGACCATCCAGCTCCCGATAGCCAATGAGATAACGAAACCACACTGGTATGGGGACGAACATACGGTAATACTGGCAGAGTTCTTCTAACAGCATATAACAATAGCCCTGTGCAACACAAAGAAGGAATCTTTAAAAACACAAAGAATGTAATATTAACGTATCCATTTAAAATATTTATTCTCTTGAATACTTTCATCTCCTTGTATCTTAGCAAGTACCCAACAGACATGAAATATTATTTTGAAACTAGAGTTATGAAAAATCACTTTTGTCACAATACTGCTCAATGAACACATCAGACTCCTTCGAAAGGGGGCCAAGGCTATGGCTTTTAAAAAGCAGTTTGAAGAATGGAGACTAAATGACATGTAGGCTCCATTCATTACATTTTACCACTTAGGTTGACACAACCAAAAGAAAAAAAAAAAAGCAACTCTGAGCTTTGGCAAGTCCTTAGCTGACATTTATCCATATCACAAAATAAATTGTGAAATTATAATAGCACAATTAGCTTGAGGTTTTCAGGAGAAACCCAGAAAAAACAAGATGCAGAAGATTAGAATGTGGGTGCCTTTGCAATGTAGCCTGCCCACTTACTAATGCTATCAATCTTCCTTTCATAATCACTACAAAAAAGAAAAAAAAAATCCAAACAAACCAGTCACAAGAAAAATTCAAAGATAATATTTAAATACACTTAGAACAGTTTGTATTTAAAAGATGCATCCAGTACACAAGCTTGAGGAAAAAGTCAGAATTAAGAAACCTCTTTTTAAATAAAGGACTCGGCTCCCTTCCACCCCTTTGCAATTAACTGCAATTGCTAAAAGCCTCATATTAAAGTCCTCTGCTCTCCTTCCCCCCCCACCCCAAAAGTGGGGGCTAATGCAAAAAATTAAACATTCTGGCATGGACTCCTTGTACTTGGTTAATGTAAGACTAATGCACTAATTAAACTAATGAATGCTAAAAAAAGTGAGGGTGTGGCTACCTGAACTTGAGAGGACACAGGATAAAACCCAAACCCAGTACAAGTAAATACTGAAGAGAAACAGAAAGGATCTTTTGAGAAGGAATTTCCCTGTCCGATGTTATTTAAAAAATAAAAGCATCAGGGACCAGAATAGTGCAAGAACCCCCAAGAGGCAGCTGAATTTAACCCACCATATATTTACATAGTGCTCATCATATGGAACTGTAAATAAACTATTTGTATGTTGAAAACAGCAGTAAACACATATTCAGGTTTGCAGTAAATACACAGATCTTACATTTTTCCTTAGCGTTTCAGTTCTTTAAAGCTAGATTTGCAATAGAAGTTTATGTAGCTGAAGTGCCCTAACTGTAGTGAGGGTTTAGGTTGTAGCCGTGTTGGTCTAAGGACATAGGCAGACAAGGTTCCTTGGGTGAATTTGATATCTTTTATTACACCAACCCAAATGGTTGGAGAATAGTTATTAAGCAAGCTTTCGGGTTCAAAAACCCTTCGTCAGGCTAAGGAAGCTGCAGTGATAAATATGGGATACCCACACAGGTTTGTAAACTTTCTTGATTAAACTGCCTTTCAGCGCAGCTACGACTGGTTTCTTTGCTAATCTGGTAAAATTTTCATTAGTTAAATGTGACACAAGTTTTTTTTAATGATTTTTTCTTTTACTTGTATTTCAAAATTAAAGAACAAAGATTGTATTAAATTATAAATTGCTCTGTTTCTATCTAAACTGCTTAAACCCCATACATACTAGTGTTAATGAGAACATATGGTTATTACAACCCATGTGAGTTCCTTACATCTAAACATACTTTAGAAAGTGGTTCCATGTTTAAGCTGTTGGTAATTTTTATTTTATTAAACTAAAAACAAATATTTGCTAGTCCACCCTGGAAATTAAATTGCATTTCCATACCTTACCTCTAGAAATGGATAAAAACTAATATCTCATTAACCAATATAGGCCACCATAAAACTGATGGATTTTACTAATTTTAAGTAATCAAACATCCTCTCTTATTGACCTATATTATGCAGAAAGGTTACTTCCAAGTTTAAGGACATTATTTAAAAATAGTTTAATTTTTATCTTATTTAATTGTTTTGTTTTTTTTTTAAATTCAAATATCACTTGTGTATTAAGATCTTAGTCTTAATACCAGTTTATGAGCAAAAAGGGCCCTGTATAGCACAAACCCTGCTTTTTCAGGTCAGAATACAAAACTTCCATAGGAATTGCCAGTCAGAGCAGAATATGAAATCTATAGGCTTCTCTCACTCTCTCTGCAGTAATGCCAGATTATATGCAGCATTTTAATTAAGAAACCATTGCTCTAGGTGGAATTACGTGACTAACTAATTGTACTGAAGGAAGATCTTGAGGTTAAGGCAAATTATAGATTATTTTCTTACCTTGGATTTAAAAGACATCATAAAAGAAGGCACCAAGAGAATAAAGCATTTGAAGCCCATGAAGAGGAATTTCAGAATAAAGTCTGTGATTCCCACGATCCATAGCACCTCCCAGAAGTTCATGAAATCCACGGTAGGATTTAAAAAGATTAAGCTACAAAAAGAAGCATCAAAAGTTACAAGAAATAACTGAGGGCATCTGTGTTGGCTTTAATTAAACAAAAAAAAAAGTATACTTAATGGAAAAACACTACACTACACTAAGAGGAGCAGGATGAAGGGATGTTTTATCTTTTAAATCCACTTTCCTATATGTATCATCTTGCCCATGAGGCACTCCACCAGTCCAGGGAATTTGGCAGTAGGGAACCAGTAGCAGCATTAAATGCTGCAGCTCTGGGAGCTATAGCAATTAACACTCCTGCAGCTCATCCTGCCACCAAATTTCCAGACCCATGGGGAGGCCTGCAGACCAGATGGCGCAGGCCTGCCTGCTGTATTGGGCTTACAGACCAACCCTGTGCAATTCACCCTGCCCATGCAGCTGGATGAGTTGAGCACCACAGATCTATATCGTAACTCCCATCTTTTCCCATAGGGACTCGCTCTCTTTGCCATCTCGTTAATACTGCTCCTTAATAATACAGCAGGATTGTTGGCTGTTGTAAAACAGACAGACGTACCCTCTAGAGACTCGGGGCACCACAGCATATTTCATTTAAGTGCACAGGCTCAGGACTGCAAAAACCTATGTACATACCAGCATAGAGAGAGCCACAATTTAAAAGTTATCAATAAAATATATACATTTTTCTAATTACCTGTAATAAAGTGACTGAGAGTAAAAGGTATAATACAAGAGAAGAGAAGATCCAGTTAGGAATACCAGTAACCATGCACAGTGCAACTTGGAGCACCGTTCCTGTAAGACACGCATTAAAAAAATATTAATAGTTTGTCTCTCAAAGGTCATAAGTTAATTCTCTTGCATACCCAATAAAACTACATCTGCTGCATACGATCAAACTATTACAAGGTGCCAAAGACCTACACTGGAAGACCATGGCATTTGCAAAGTTCAGTGCACTTTGATGGAACAAAGAGTCCACTCAGATGGTTTTTCTGGCAGGAACAGTGTCTAACTGACCAAACGGGCAAAGGCTTAACGGGCGGCTTTTGATGCAGTGGTCAAGTGTACAGGCTGCTCAAACTTCTCTGTTTTCTCAGGAACAAGATTTGGATCAAGCAGAAATTCTGTATAGCATATGGGGATTTTAACAAATTTTAAAATATAGTAAAGAATTCCTGTCTCTTAACTGCAACAGCATCATCAGGAGTCACTCCATTATACTAAGTCAGAAAAACACCTGCACCCACAGTTCTTTTTAATTGGTGCAAAGTATGCTTATCTGACAAGCTGTAAGTTAGTATAGGAGAGTGTTAAGATATTATCCTTAGCTAAAACACCATTTATATTTCACAAATCCTACAAGATGCATCTATTTTGTTTACTAAAGAAATAAGACCTTACTTCACATTTCTCTCAAAAAGGCTTTGTAAAATGAAAGGTTTCGTAACAATTCATTTTAAAATGCTTCAACTTCATTGCAACGGCCATACTTACTCTTAGAAAAACCTGATTTACAATGCTTTTGTTTGCATACATAAAAGTTGTTAGCAGCCCAATTCCAACAGAAATGCCTATTAGGAAAAAAGGGTCAGTTATATGATGAAGGAAAAGAAGAAATTGCATTGAACTGAATTAAAAAAAAAGAAAAAGACAGCGCAAAATTAAATGGCCACTTCCAACATGTACTTGCAATAACCATAATCAAATTTTAACAGCTCAAGCAATCAAGCTAAAATAATTAAGCACATTGTATATGGTAACATAAAAAAAACAGATAAGTGATTGAAATGTGTTTTTAGTAAATCTCTCTGATCTTCAGTGAAGAAATCAAATTAAAGTTAAGCTAGAAGTAAATCAAATTTACTTCAGGCATTCTTATGAGCAAGATTTAATGCAGGAAAAAAAGGAGCAATTCCCTCGCACCATACATTGTTATACTCTACCGATTATATGCTGCATGATCAGTTTGACACACAGAATCAGGATGTACGGAAGACTTTTGTGCAGCCACTGGAAGAGGTATCTGAGCTCGGAGAGGGAGCTACCACTGTGTTCCTCAAAGTCCAGGGACGATTCTTCAGGCCCCCTTGCCTCATTGTGGGAGTGGCCATGCGAGTGGCTCTGGGAACCTGACCTTGTGTGTCTGGAACTAGGATTTTCTCCAGCTTCTCCCAAAACAGAGTTTAGCTGGATGTGAACATCTCCAGCATGGTGGGATGAGCCTTCTCCTGGCAGTCTTGTGGCATGGGCACTCTGAGCGGACAAGGAACCGTCACCGTTTCCTGGGGAATTGTGGAAATGACTACAACTGGGTTGCATGGTGTTGGATCTGCCTCTGGTCCGGATTCCTTTGTCTCACTGCTATGTCTCCTAAGGAAGGGAGGGAAAAGCCATGATTAAAGCAGCAGTGCACTATTCAGTTAGAGAGATCTGTCTGTCTGAAATGTACAGCAAATGCCTTATGGCCAACCTGGTGATCTCTGTGCAAAGAATAGGACGTTTTTACCACTAAGACATATTCAAGGAATGGTTCCTTGAACTACCTTAACAAAGAGCCTTTGGTACATCTTGCTTGTGGGCTTCTACTAACATCCCCTCGTTTGTGTGTGCTCTCACCCTCAACAGGGACTGGGACCCTCACTAAAATCAGGAACAGACAAAATTCCAGTACTGGTTAGAAGACCCTGTTTTTCATGAACTAGCCTGTGTCGCACAGAATTTAAAACTGCATGAGCTTAAAGAAAAAGGTTGGAAGCCATCGCTGGATTAGAGAAGGAACTAATACAGATGGCGGAGGGTGTCTGCATAATTATAAGCATACAAAAAGACATGTATTCAGCCACAGACAAGCCTAATCAAAAGCCAGTGAGCACTGAAGGCAGAGAGCCATTGTGGGATTACTAGAAGAGATTATCCTGTCTGTGCAAGCGAGCAGAACCAGGTTAGTCCACTTTGTAAAAGGCGCTCAGAAGAGCCTCGGACATATGCGGACTTATGGAGACTGAAGAGGGGAAAGAAAGCAGAAAATAAAGAGCAAGTCTGAGACTGGGCTGGGACTGGTAGGGAATCTGGGTCAGAAAGAAAATGCCGACAGCTCAGTGCACACTTATAATGAGAGCAGCAGACCTAGTTTTTATTCTTATCTCTGACATCTCACTCAGACACGCAGCAATTTGTTTGTTTTGTGCCTCAGCCTTCCCATTTATAACATGGATTTTGTACACTTCCCGGAAATGCTGTGATGTTTCAGAACTTTATGTCTGGAAAGTGCTTTGAGATCCTAGGATTTTCCAAGTATTAATGTAGCTTTTGCACGGTAGAAAACACTACAGCTGATATTTATTGGGATTTTCATGAAAACCCTTTTCCGTTGCCTTTCTTAAACCACCTTCTTTCGAGATGAAATCTTCCATGGTTAGTCTCTACGTAATGACTTTTGTTAGGCGGGCAGAAAAGTTCTCATCAAATCCATTGCCCTTTTTGTCAGTTATGCAGGGATGAAAAACGCATACCTTCTGCTTTGCAAGAAAAGCTTAAGATGATATTTTTACATATTATAAAGTGCCCAAAAATGCAGAACAGAGGACTACACAGATAGATCTAGATATACTTGCAAATTACTTGCCTAGTAAAACTTTTTAGTAATGTTCAGGGCTAACAGTAAGTTGTGCAGCACCTGTTTGCCTAAAGTTTCACTGTACATACCACAGTCCTGTCAATGAATATCACAGGCATGGGCGTAAACCCAATGAGCTGAAGTCAACATGACGGAAGTGCCACGCGTGACTTTGCTGGATCAGGCCAGGGGCAGATCCAGGGGGGCTGCACTCGTGCCGTTGGATCCTGCTTTGCTTCTTGTTCCGCCCAAGTTTAAAACTAACGGCCTGGCGGTGGCGGCAGCATTTCTAGCTGGGTTGTACTGAGGGAGTCGATTGACTTCAGGGCACGTTAAAATCTACCTGATTCCTTCTAAACTCTTCATGCTACACGGCCCTCTTCCTTGTTAACGGTCTTGACGCTCCACTAAACAAGCTAACCCCTCTTCTGCAACGCCGCAGGCTGCTCCCGACCGCGCCGTCCCTCTCCCACAGCCTCGCACGCTGGTTTTTGAGTCGTTCTTATCAAGTTACATTTGCTTTCGCATCCATTTTAAATAGACTCATCCAGCCCTGCTCCCTGAGCGTATTCGGAAAGCTTTGACTTTATTTTTACCTGGAGAAAAGTGTGTTGTATTGTATGCAATGATGCCCCTTGTCACGTGTGTTCCCCCCTTTTCAAAACCCCAAATCTGGCAAATTATGACAATGCCCCTTGTCACACGCGTGGCCCCTTTCAAAACCCTAAATCTGCCCCGATTCAGGCAAATTATGACGATGAACCTTACCACACGCACGTCATTTTCCAAAACCCTAAATCTACCCTCAATCTGGCAAATTACGATGATGAACGTTTCCACACGCACGTCCCTTTTCAAAACCCCAAATCTGCCCCGAATCAGGCAAATTATGACGATGACCCTTACCACACGCACGTCATTTTTCAAAACCCCAAATCACGCGAGTTATGACGACGACCCTTACCACACGCATGTCCCCTTTTTCAAGACCCTAAATCTGCCCGCGACCCGTTTCTATGACATTTAGACTTCGTAAAAAAAAACAGGAGGAAAACATGCCCGAGGTTTCCTGCGATCCCCATCATAACCAGTCGGGGTTGCTGATCTC